TTCATGTATGTCACCCCATCAGTGGGGGAAAGAGTAGGAAACATTCAAGAAATCAAGACTCTCAGGGGAGGACGTAGTTTGCCCCAGGTCAAACCTACACCTTGTAAGGTTATAAGATGTAAATGAGACAATGTATGTAAAGGGCTCAGCACAGCATCCTGGGCATAAGCAGCCCTCAAAAACAGTATTCACTGTCTCCATCTACTCACCTTGCAGGACACCCACCAATACACTCATAGGTTAAAGCTTGTTATCTAGAAAGATCATCTAGTTCATGTCGCCATTTTACAGATGATGAAAATGAAACCTGAAAGGAGGGAAGGTGACCAGGGTGCCTCTGGGGCAGTAACAGGAACAGGATGAGAATCCAGTCCACCCAGTGGTCCCCAGGTCCCAGACCCAAATGTCCCCTATACAGCCCAAGCTGGGAAGGAAACACAGCTGGAGGTGAGCACACAAAAAGAAAGCACTCACCCTGTCTTTAACCACATGTCCAGTTAGTTGTAGGAGATGAAGAAGGCAAAGGTCACGCAGATAAAGCCACCCCAGGGCCTCCCTCTCACCAGTCCTGATGCCACAGTAAGTAAATGCCAGCTTACTTCATAGAAAATCCCTAATTCCATCGGTGTTCCTTGCTTCCAATGACAAGCCTGCTGTTTTGAAGCAATGCAAACCGGAGGATATAGTCCTGGAGAGAATGGGAGGACCACAGTCTAGTAGACAGGCCAAGTTTTCCAGACCTGGAGTCCAGTTCGGGTCCCACATGTTACCAACTGCCTCTGGTCATTACCTCTCTGCTCATTTCTTCATCCAGAAGGTAGGCGTAATGATACACACTTTAGAGGTGGTTGTATTAGAAGAGTATGTAATGTACCCAACACGCAGGGAGTTCTTAATAAGTAGTATTTGCCCAAAGTTCTGGTTTGTGTTCCAGTTCTATCACATGTGTTGTGACCTGGGGCAAACTGCCTCCTCTCCTGAGAGTCTGAGTTCTTGAATGTTTTCTACTCTTTCCCCAACTGATGGGGTGACATACATGAAAGTGCTTTATAAGCCAAGGATTATCAGCAACTCTTCTTCATTTGCTCCCCACAAAGATGTTTTTAAAACCCCAGAGCTATAAGAAATTGTGGCAGTGTATCATCCTACATGGACTTTTCACAAGGTTATCAGTCAAGCCTCCTTTAGCTCAGCAACAGCTAACCAAATCCATCTGTTACAATCAATGGTATTCTCTGGGTTTCCCAGCCTTTTCAGTCCACTTTTATGTAAACTCAAACAAAAACCCTTAGTGAAAGACAGTGTGAAATGCAATCAAGCTGACCCTCCCTTTCAGAAACAGAGCAGAAAGTGCACCTAGGGCTGGGGTTTCCAGCCTTCCAGCCCAGCAGACATGCTCGGGCTCTGGTGGCAGCAGGGCTCCCACTGCTATCCTGGGAAGAAGAGCCCTGCCCAATGCCAGCCTTGCCCACAGCACTGGACCCATTTTCACAATCTCCAGGAATCCATCCCCAGCCAAATCCATCTGAAGCCAGAGGATTCAGCCCCTAATGGCTTCCATCTTTTCCTCCCTCCCTCTGTCCTGCATATACCACCAAGTTATAGGCCTTCCTCAAAAACTGTAAATGGCTCCCTGTTGCCAGCAGTGTTTCTTAAGACTTGTTCAGGTGGCACAGGAAGTCATACAGTTTTTATGGGACACTCTTAATACACTGACATATCTAACAAACAAGGAACAATTACCAACTAGCAGAAAGTATTTTAAATATTCAACAAAATCCCTGATATATCCCAAGACAAAAACAAAAGCTGTGGTGGGTCAGTGGCTGCTTTGTTCAGATCCACTTGGTACTGTCCAGTCACCCTGGAATCTGCTAACATTCTTAAGAAGAAAAGGGGTAGCAGCTACCAAAGGTTTACAAAGAACTATGCAAGAAAGACTTAAGACTGGGAAACTGCTGTTGATAAATTTTTCCTGCAAATCAGGAAAAGTCCTGTATGGTGTAACTTTCATAGTACCATCGCAGGTCCAATGGAAATGTCAGTGTTCCTTAAGGGGAGAACCACTGATCTCTAAGGAAAAAGGCCTCCTCAGCCTATGAGTCAATGTCCTCTCCAACCTGGCTTTAACTACCTACCACCCTCACTCCCCTCCCCGACCCCAGTGTTTCTGCCCCTCACTGCCTCATGCACCTGAGCTCTGATATCGTTTGCCACTTCTGCTCCCATACACCAATTGAACGGCCCCTGCCCGCTGAGGAATGGCCATGCCAGCCTCCTGAGGAGCCTTCTCTGTATATGCTGTCCATCCTGAGACCTACTTTCTGCTTTTACTGATGTCTCATCTCATCTTTCCTGGTAGCTGTAAAATCCTTCAGGACGGGGGCTGTGGCTCCAACAGCCTGTACGCTCAGAGTCTGGAAGGATACTGTCCTCTCTGTCAAGACCACAAGCTACTTTGGGGCAATGGCTAGACCACACTCTTGTAGGTATTTTCTTCAGAGTCCCAAACAGCACAGCTGGTGAGCCAGAGAACCCAGCAGGGAACATGTCCCTACAGAATTGCTGAGAGAGAGTGGGACCTGGGGGAAAGCTGATGCTGTCTCAACTACTAAGAAGCTGGGCCCAGGGCCATTACTAGGCCTCAGGCCTTCTGCAAGTGAATAGGCCATTAGCTTCAGCTCACGGATCTGCTTGGCTCTGCCCTCAGAGGGCTCCCTTTCTAACAGGCCTATTTCTGCCCTCCCAGGGACTCTGTGTTCTGCCAAAATAACCAGGCCACCAAATTCCCAGAGGCTGTGTGAGGTTAACCAAAGACATCAAAGAAACTAGGGAGGAAGGCAGGAAACCTATATGCAAGCATTAAAGAAAGCTACCCCTAACACCTTTCCCCCATACTATTTCTAGAGCTATTGCTCTGGGTGCTAAGGCTGGACACAGGGGCAGAGTCAACAGGAACTGTTTGGTTTCCAAAAAAAACAGATTAAAAGGGCACATTATATATATGTCCCTCTTGCATGTATAATAGTTTTAACAACTTGCCTCCACCTCACATGGCTGCCTTTTTATGGTAAGCGCTCAGTAAGCACTCAGAGGGACTTTTGAGTTGAATAAAATCCCACCGGAGGGACTATTCCAGAACGCCCATCCCTCCTCAACCAGGGTCCTAAATGTGCCCCTCCCACCCAGCATGAAGTACTTAGTGCTCTTTACCTGAGGGTGCTGTGCAGTCGCACTGTCCCTTGAGCTGAGGTGAGGGAGAATCACGTCCTTAGTGAATGAAGTTACCACTCTGAAGCCAGTCTGCCTGGTTTCAAATCCTGACTGTCATTTATAAGCTGTCCGAATTAAGGCAAGTTATATCACCTCTTTGAGCCTCAGCTTCCCCATCTGTAAAAGAGGGATAATAATAGCATCTAACTTACAGGGTGCTGCGATAACTGAAGGGGTTTAATATGCATAAAGTGCTAGAACAGTGCCTGGTATATAGTAAGCATTATACTTAATGCTATGAGGATGATGAGCTGTAAATACTAGTCCAGTGAACAGCTGCTTGGGGCTGAGGCAGTGCAGCCATGACAGGAGGGAGCAGAGAAAAAGACCAACCAGTTCAACTCTGAGTCAAGGAACTATGCCAAGGCATCACCTGGGATGTCCCTCCCTGAGCCAGCACACCTTCTACTGGGGGTGCCTCTGCAGCCATCACCTTTGCCATCTCTCATGCCCCCCAGTTATAGCATCCAATAGGGATGAGGGGTAAATGGAGAAAATCCTGAGCAAGGTTAGCCCTCTTAGGAAGAGCCTCCAAGATAAAAACAAGACATAGGAATTACTCTCCCAAAGGTGATTCAAGCCATGTGGTCTTGGCCAAGTCACTTTACCTTCTTCACTTCTCTGTGCTTCAGTATCCCCATCTATACAACAAGGGGTCTGACCAGATGATCACTGGGTTCAGAGATTCTAGGATTCTTCGATTCTAACAGACATTACTTGCAAAGAGGCATCATTCTACTGCTCTCCTCTCATTAAAAGAAGAATGAAATGCCAAAGATACAACTTTTAAAAGTGTTTTATAGCAACTGATTGTGACACAAATCAGAAAGGGTTCACTGGTCAGCTGGGGAAGGGCCCCAGGCTGGCCACACAAAGGCACTCTAGCCACCTCCATCACTTACCACTTCCCTTCTCTTCCCTACTGTCTGCTTGATCCAGGTCACTACTTCCACTTCTGCAGATCTGATTCAGGAGGGCAGCCCTCTTTGTTCTACTCACCTACCTACCCACGCCTTCCTGCAGGCCTGTTCAAAGCCTCACCAGCCTCTGCTCTTGGGCCTGCATCCACACCAGCTGCAGCCCTGGTGACACTCTTGGACCTCAGCTGTGCCCTGGGCAGCAGAATGAGAGTGCCAGAGGTGACTACACAGGCCTGGGTGCTTCCTAAGAGAGCCCAAAAGAAGCCAACAGAAGGCAAAAGAAAGCATAGAGCATTCTGTTCTGCACAGAATTTTGAACGTTTATAATAACATCAAACTATCTGTTTGCATCAGAGGCCATGCTGTCTCAAAGCAGCCCCTCCTCCACTCTCCCTCCTTTACAGACAAAAAAGTCCTATAAACTGACAAAACCTTAAAATGAAATGGAAAATGAAATTTACCTTAAGCCAACTAAACACATGGAGCTGGGTCAGGTTTTAGTCAGGTCTGCTTCTGTCACATTAGCTATGGTTTTCTGAAGACTGGAGTATGTTTAAGATAATATTCGTGCTTTATAGCCATGCTTTTAAACTCTGTACTTGCCAATTCAGTTACCTTCTCCTATGAGGTTTGCCCTTCAACAATGAGATTAGTTAGGTTGATTAGGCTGGTGGAGCCAATCATGTTTACAATCTTCCTAAAACATAGAGCTCTCCATGAACAAGAAAGGCAAAAATAATAAATAAATAAACAAAATTTTTTTACTCCTTTTCTTCAATTTTCTCTAGAGGCTAGGCATATTTCTGATAGTTTTAAAGCTGTGGAAAAGTTTTATTATAGATTTTATTACAGAATTTAAAAATTTCAAAAAATAACTGCTTGGAACCACAAATAATTCAAAGGAAACATAGTAATCCCATAAACAAGCATTCTGGCGTCTGTTAGAAAATTTTCCTCAAATTATGAAATGTAGCTCTCCATGCTTTCCAATGACTGTTATAGTACCCACAAATATCTGTGATTTCAGTGGAATACTTTAACATAATTTTTCTTTTTAAGGCATGATCCTGATTCATTTTTTCTTCAATATCTCAGTCATTTCAGGAACTACCTGCAAATAAAAACAAAAAGTAAGCAACTAGAGCCTTCACTGTGATACGGTCACAGCTCCGTAAGCAGTACAGGGAGGCCAAAAGAAACAACACGAATCACTGTTGAGGCACGAGGGCCCCCTCCTCTCCACCAGGAACCCCCTGTTCTCCAGTAGTCTCTCTTCCCACCCAGGGAGACTACCCAGGACCCAGGGCTGGCAGGGCCTACAGCCCACTCATTGCCTAGGTGCCTTTTTTTTTTTTTTCCTTTTTTGAGACAGGCTCTCACTCTGTCACCCAGGTTGCAGTGCAGTGGTGCAATTATAGCTCAGTGCAGCATCCACCTCCTGGGGTCAATCAATCCTCCCACCTCAGTAGCCACCAATCTGGCTAATTTTTGTAGAGACAGGGTTTCGTCATGTTGCCCAGGCTAGTCTCGAACTCCTGGGCTCCGGTGATCTGCCTGCCTCAGTCTCCCAAAGTGTTGAGATTACAGGCATGAACGACTGCACGCACTGCTACCTTTCGGCTTTTTGACCCAACCACAAATTTCAAGAAGGCACCCTAGAAACAGGAAGCCCAATTTTTCTTGTCTGGGCGAAAAGTACTGTGTATTTACCTTCGTATTTTCCTTGGCATTCTTCCCACCCTTAACTGCATTCCTGACTTCCCTTCGAAGTCCACACCAAAGTCTCTAGCTTGCTGCAGTTATGACCCCTGCTAACCTCCTCTAGTACTTGTTCTCTCACTGTTCATTCATTCATTCATTCATCCATCATTCATTTCACAAACATATTGGTTGCTTTTTCAGCAGCATACTACTATCATCTGGCACACAGGAATGTGCTACATGCTGAACATTCAATATCATCATGCTTTATTAAAATCAAGACCTTGTGTGCTAATGCAGTGGCCGGTCAGCAGACAGTAAGAAACCACAGCAAGGGGAAATGGCCTGAGTTGGCTCCCATTTTAAAAAGGATTAATTACTAACCCTTAGTCGTGGCAGTACAGTGGCTGCAACTGGAGCCTCCAGTGTAGAGCTGCTCTGTAACTGCTTACAGGGGAGAGCTGTCTGAGGGAGCTGCAGGGAATGTCACACAGACACTCTGAAAACTGGTCCAGCCTCTTGTGCAAAATATCAATTACCCAGTCTTCCAAGGGGCTTTCAGCTGCCTTAGCTCACAAAGATCCCAGCTGAACTCGCCAATGATGAATATAGCCTCTCAATTATTTAAGAGAGCTACATTTCCATTAGGTGGAAATAATGTGTTCGTACAAAATTTATTAAGGAAATTGTCGACATGTTGTTTCTTCTGAATGTCACTTTGTCTCCAGCCTATTAAAAGGCCCATGTTTACCATGGAGCCAGCAGGCATTTGCTCAGGGGTGGCATTAAGTGCTGGCACCACTTCTCCCAGCTTTCCTCAGTGGAGAGACCATGAGCTCATGCCAGTCACACAGATGACATGCTAACTGAGCTTCACACAGGACCTGTGTATTTCATGAAAAATAGGATAAAGCCCAACTTCTCTTACCACGAAGTGAAACACTAATTTGGTTTAGAATATATAACTTTTCAAAATTTTACCAAATATATCCTTACCACACTCTCCACGAAAGGGTTGAGAGGATTTTCTCTACCATCTGTATCTTTTTTTATTAGATCAACCACACACTTTTCTTTTCTTTTGAGACAGAGTTTTGCTCTTGTTGCCCAGGCTGGAGTGCAATGGCGCCGTCTCGGCTCACTGCAACCTCTGCCTCCCAGGTTCAAGCAATTCTCCTGCCTCAGACTCCCAAGTAGCTGCGATTACAGGCATTTGCCACCATCCCCAGCTAATTTTTTTTGTATTTTTAGTAGAGATGGGGTTTCACCAAGTTGACTAGGTTGGTCTCGACCTCCTGACCTCAGGTGATCCACCCACCTCGGGCTCCCAAAGTGCTGGGATTACAGGCGTGAGCCACTGCAGCCAGCCCAACTATACACTTTTCAAGCATACCACATGATGCCTTATTTAGGAAAAAGGAAATGTTAACTCAGGTTCATTGAGTGTCTGATGGCCTGAGCACACTGAAAGATCTTATTTCTATTCTCTTTTAGATATTGCAGAGGCAACTCCCTACTCAGTAAGACCCAATAAAAGTCACCTAAGTTTTTTTTAAAAAAGACAACCTACTGATATAAATCACAGTACAAGTATGTTTCACTCATTCACTTAGTACTTCCTCCAGGTAGTACTAAGGGAAACAGAGAAGCTCTCTGTCACTATGGGAGTAACAGAGGAGTTCTGCCTCCTAGTTGGCAAGAACAGACAGAGGCCTATGAATCACCCAATCAGAAGTGTGCTCATCTTATACTGGAATGCAGGAGAAGGAGAAGAGAATAGCATTAAAAGCTCCAAATTCGAGTCCTGAGGAAGATCAGTGTGGATTAGGAAAATTCAGAACATCAAACTAAAGAAAAAAAGGATTCTAGGCAAAAAAAATGAGGCACAGACAGAGATAAACAACTGCAGGTTCCCGAGATAGTAAAGAGATTGTAGTGACTATAGGGGAGAAGAGGAAAGAAAAGAAGGTTTAGAAAGATAAGTGGTTTGCCGAGGTCATTCAATGCGAACAGAATAGTCTCTTTGAACAGATAGGTGGTGCTGGGACAACTGGATAATCACATGCCAAAGAATGCAGATGGACTCCTACCTCACACCATATACAAAAATTAACTCAAAATGGATCAACAACCTAAATATATGAGCTAAAACCATAAAACTCTTATAAGAAAACAGGGGTGAATCTTCATGAGCCAAGATTTGGCAATGGATTCTCAGATATGATGCCAAAAGCACAAGCAATAAAATAAAAAAAAGATAAATTGGACTTCATCACAATCTAAAACTTGCACATCAAAGGATATTCTCAAGAAGGTGAAAAGCTAACCTACAGAATGAGAAAATGTTTGGAAATCATATCTCTGATAAGTGTTTAGTATCCATTATATGTAAAGAATTCACACAAGTCAACAAAAAGAGAAACAGCCCAACTGAAAATGGGCAAAAGAGGTGGATAAACATTTCTCTAAAGGAGATATACGAATGGCCAGTGAACATCTTTTCATATGCTTGTGTGCTTAACATCACTAGTTATTAGGAAAACACAAATCAAAGTCACAGTGAGATACCACTTCACACCTACTAGGATGACTAGAATTAAAAAACAGAAAATAACAAGTGTTACTGAGGATGCAGAAAAACTGGAACCCTTGTGCACTGCTGGTGGGAACGTAAAATCATGCAACTTCTATGGAAAGCAGTTTGAAGGTTCTTCAAAAAGCTAAACATGGAATTCATATGACCCAGCAATTCTACTCCTAGTTATAAACCCAAAAGAACTGAAAGTAGGGGCTTGAGCAGATACTTGTAGTCTTGGCTCACTGCAACTTCTGCCTCCTCCCAAGTTCAAGTGATTCTTCCACCTCAGCCTCCCGAGTAGCTGGCCACCATGCCTAGCTAATTTTTGTATTTTTTGGTAGAGATGGGGTTTCACCATGTTGGCCAGGCTGGTCTCAAACTCGTGACATCAAGTGATCCAACCACCTTGGCCTCCCAGTGCTGGGATTACAGGTGTGAAATCACCGTGCCTGGCTGGCAATGGGTTTTTAGATATGAGACTTCAAGCATAAGCAACAAAGAAAAAATTGGTAAGCTGGATTTTATCAAAATTTAAAACTTTATTTTAAAACTTTTTCTTCCCCTTTTTCATAGGCATTGACAAAATTTAAAACTTTCATGCTTTAAAGGACACCATTAAGAAAGTGAAAAGACAACCCACACAACGGGAGAAAATATTTGCAAATCAAATACTCAATAAGGGACTTATATCCATGATATATAAAGAACACTAACAACTCAAGAACAAAAAGATAATGTGATTTAAAAATTACAAAGGATCTGAATAAACTTTCTCCAAAGAAAATATACAAATGGCCAATAAGCAGATGAAAAGATACTAAAAGTCATTTGCCATCAGGGAAATGCAAATCAAAATCACGAGATACCACCTCACACTCATTAGAAGGGCTATATTTAAAAAGACAGACAATAACATACATTAATGAGTATATAGAAAAACCAGAGCCCTCACACATTTTTGGTGGGAATGTAAAAGGGGGCAGCCACTCTGAAAACAACCTGACGGTTATTCAAAATGTTAAACTCAGAGTTACCAGGTGACCCAGCAATTCCATTTCTAGATATCCATCCAAAAGAAATGAAAACATAGGTCTGCACAAAACCTCATACGTGAATGTTCATAGCAGCATTATTCTTAATAGCCAAAAAGGGGAAAAACTCAACATGTCCATCAAATGATAAATGAATAAACAAAATGTTACATAGCCCTATAATGGATATTATTTGGCAAGAAAAAGAAAGTACTAACACAGGCTATAACATGGATGAACTTTGAAAACCTTATGCTAACTGAAGGAAGCCAATCACAAAGATCACATATTACATAATTCCATTTATATGAAACATACAGGACTGGCAAATCTATAGAAACAGAAAGTAGATTAGTGGTTGCCAGGAGCTGGGGCTGGGGTCTGAGGATGCAGAACATAAAACAGGGAATGAATGCTGATAGGTATGGAGTTCTTTTTGGTGTGATGAAATGTGTGATAGTGGTTGTGTAACTGTGAAAATACTAAAACCCACTGAATTGTACATTTTTAAATGGTGAGTTTTATGGTACATGAATTATGTCTCAGTAAAGCTGTTTAATATTAAACAAAAAATAGGTGGTGCCCTATGCCCTATCACAGTAACTACAATTATAATATTTACCATTTACTGAGTACCTACTATGTACCTGGACAGAACAGGCAGGCTAATATTTATCACAGACTCTATTAGTATTAGGTGCAGTATAATTTCATTTCATCTTCATTACAACCTTTAAAGAGGTAGTGTAATATTTACATTACTTACAAGGAAGCTGACATCCAGAGATTAAAATCTTAGCCAAGATAGTTTAACTAGTATGTGGCCAAGGCAGAATTGGAATTAAAGCTCTTAATTACTATAACATATTATTTCTAAGGCCAAAAAAAAAAAAAAAAAAAAAAAAAAAAA